GAATTTCTTCATTTAAATTTTAATTAAAAATATGGTTTATTGCGTCAGCCGAGGGGAGGGGGCGCGCGGGCCGTGTCCACGGGAGTGGTGGGCCCCACGCGGCAGCCCCTCGGTCCACGGTGGACCGGGTGCACCCGAGGGCTCACCAGCCGGCGCCGTGGGCTCCACGCGTTAGCCACACCCGAGGGCATGGGCGGCTGACGGCCGGGCCCCACGCAATGGCCACACGTTATGCCCGGAGGCGGCCACGTCGGCACGGCCGGCGGGAGGCGTCGCCCGCGCCCCTATGGTCGCCGGCGGCGGCTATAGGCGCGGCGAAGCAGCGGCCGAGAGAGGGGACGGGAAGGGGGAAAGAGGCGGGGGTCCACGGCTCACCTCGGGGCGACGCCGGCGACGGAGGAGGCGACCAGAGTGGAGAAAGGCGGTGGTGCGGCTCGGGTCGATGGGGTCGGCGGCGTTCCGGCGGTCGGCGACTGAAACGGAGGGGTGGACGAGGTCGGCGAGGACGCGGCGATGCCGGAGGAGACGACGCTGAGGCGGGGGACGGTCCCGGCGAGCGGCTAGGCCCGGCCGGAGGTCGACGGCAACGGCGGAGAGAGAGGACGACGGTGCGGGTGTGAATCCGACGAGGGAGGTGCGGGAAGGGTTTATATAGGGTTGGGAGTGAGAGAGGGCGGCCGGCAGGGAAGGAAACCGGCGCGGGGGTCCCGGTCGGCATCAATGGCGGGAGCAAATCCGGCCGTTTGAACGCGGGAGAGAGAGGGGAAAATGGGGGGAAGGGAGAGGGAATCAAGGGGAATATTTCCCCCCACTTAATTGCACACGGGAACGGTCGGGGGCGGCGGGATTTGCGGCGGCGGCGGCGCTAGGCGCGGGCAGAGCGGCGGGAGCAGCGGGAGGAGGGGGATGATAGGTGGGCCCCACCCGTCAGCGAGGGTGGCGGGCGGGCCCGCTCGTCAGCAGTGTGCACGCGGGGAGGGAGGGGAGGCCGAGTGGGCCGCGGGGAGAGGAGAGAGAAGGGGAGGGAGCTGGGCCAAATTTGGCCCAAGAGAGAGAGGAGAGGGTTTTAGGATTTTCTTTTTATAAAACCTTTTCAACTTTGTTTATTTCTTGATAATTATTATTTGTGCTCTGAAAATTCCACTAAAATTTATTTACACATTTTAGGCTTTTAGGAAATATACAAAAATCCTCCAAGCCTTATTTGACTTTTAACTTTGCACACTTTAATTTTTGGAGGCTTTCACAAGGATTTTAATTATTCTAGGCATAATTTAAAGGATATATTTTAGGGTCGTTTTGGGACGTGACATCCTCCAATGTTTGCACATCATCATTGCATAAGGATATAGGAGATTCAGAAATGGGAGATAAATCACATTGTTCATGCTTCCTCGCATTTGATATGATCTGACTCTCAATGCTACGAGCAAGTATGAATAGGTGCCCAATATGATTATATGTCACATTATCAAGCAAAACCTAAATTTCAGAATTAAGCCCATTGAAAAATCTACGCATTGTATTTTTTTTTGACGTAAAACAGCTGGAGAGGCTCCTACTGCGCTATATTAAATAGATAGGATAATTTACAAAGTTACAAAATATACAAGAAAATTAATTAAAAGTGTTTAGCCATGATTGCCACTTGGGTTTGTCCATCTCTTTTGCTCTGTGCATATGCAAGGCAAAATCCCTCAGAAAGTCAACCTTCCATTTGGTAAAGCTGAGAGCGATATTGTTAAAAATGAGATCATTCCATCTGCACCAGATGTTCCAGCAACCAATTGATAAAACTTCAAAGAAGAAAAAGTGATGAAAGGAGTTCTAGGTTGAGGTGATCATGTTCATAAATTCCAAGGCTGAATTCCAGTTGATGCCAATGTGCTGCCAGCATTGTTGCGCAAATGGGCAGGAGAAGAACAAGTGAGCCATGCTCTCTTCGGTCAGGGAGTTGCACATCAAGCAGTTTATTCCACCTTGAATGTTGAAATTCTTTTTATGTAGCATTTCTTTTGTGTTGAGTCGATTCATTAGCATGAGCCAAAGAAACACTTTTAGCTTCATTGTGCATTTGCTTTTCCAGATAATTGAGAGGGGTCTGGCAACTTGATGGTGTTCAAAAAACATTGAGTAGACTTTGTTGGGATGGTAATGATCTGAGTTCCATAAATATGACCAGATGTCAGGCTCGTTGGTGATCTATAGGTTTTGCAATCTTTCACTTAAAATTCCCCATTCTTGCATTGCTTGGTTGGAGAGAGGGAGATGAAAATTCTGATGAAAGTCAGATGCCATCATGAAGCTCTATACTGAAATATCCTCATTTCTCCCTTATGAGAAAAGAACAGGGAAGTCTATTTCCAAGATATGATTGTTCCAATTGTCCTTCTAGAAGAGTGCAGAATCTCAAGTTCTTATGGTCGTGGTAGAGATTGCTCTATACAAAGGGACTAACCTAAAAAAGTCCTTCCACCAAAATGAGCCCTTTTCTTTATGAGCGTGTGGTGGCTTGTCTGACTCATTATAATGCCTGTTCCAGATGAGTTGAACCCAAGGCATTTCTTTCTTGTTGAAAAACTTGTCCAAATGTTTGATAAGTAGATCTGTGTTTTGAATCTCCAGGTTGATTATACCCAATCCTCCTTTTTTCTTTGGCTTGCACACTAGATCCCATGCAGCTAAGGAGTGAGTTTTAGTTTCCAAATCAGTATTTTTCCTCCACAGGCAGTGTCTTCTGGCACGGTCAATGTGCAAAATTACTTTCTTTGGCAGCTTGAGAGAGCTCATATAGTAAGTAGGTAAGGAGGAGAGAACTGAGTTGACCATTGAAAGTCTTTGGCTGTAGTTTAGAAAGATTGTTGTGGATGGAAGCCTTCTTTCCACTCTATCAATTAGAGGAGCAAAATCACTGACATTCAGCTTCGTGGTTCAAGAGGAAGGCCCAGATATGTAAAAGGCATGGTGCCTATTGAGCATCCTAACGTGCCAGCTAAAATTTCCATTTTGCTGTTATCAGTGTTGATGGGGATCATGCTGGATTTGTGGAAATTAATTTTAAGGCCAGTGCACATAGCATAAGACTTCAGAAGAGCTTTGAGACAAAAGACTTCTTTCTGGTATGCTTTCATGATTATTAGAGTATCATCCGTGTGGACACCCCGAGTATTATATCATCCAGTATCCAACGCGACCACCACATACTATTAGAGAAGTGGGATCCATACACGCATAAATAGCCACTCGTCCTCAATGTGTCCATGATCACGGTTGACAACCTTCTGTTATAATAAACGAAATGTCGAGTAGTGAGTGCAAGACATAACCGTAAGATAGCTTGCCAGTCCACCACGTCATATGCCCGTCAACCACTCGAAGGTGGCGACCAAAAGCATACCCCAGTGACTCGATCCAAAGCGCTATCCCCAATTATCTCAAGCGATCAAAACCCGTTACTCATGCTTAGCTAGTCCCCAGGAATGCGACTAGCCTCACACTTTCATCGCAAGCAATTAATAAACATAGCAAGTACCATAATAGGGTTAAAGTGCAGCGAGATACATGACACATAATAGGGTCCGAGGTCCCAACATACAACACATAAATATAGCAGCGGAAGTCTCAAATAGAGTTCATAAGCAAAAGATAAAACCGGTGGTGCCACAACCCCACTAGGGCAAACCAACCGGGCAAGAGCCAAGCTGCAAGAGATCACTCATTGCCCTCGCCGCCCTCGGCAGAGCAATGACCACACAAGAAGCATAACTCATAACCGGAATCCTCTCCTGAAATTGCAGACACCGGGTTAAGTACAAGATTGTACTCGCAAGTCTTACCCAAAATTATATATACATAAGGGAGAGAGAAGTATGCAAGCTTTCTAGCCTATAGTGGGTCTGTAGGTTCAATATTTGCATGAAGCTAATTTTATTGAGCAATTAATGAGTAAAATAAGCAAGGACAAGTAAATCTAGCATCATTTTAATTTATGGACAGCAAGTATATAATTCTGAAATGTACAAGCAAATGAGCCCAAACGGCGCTCTCATCATCATCCATGGACTACCAAAGTCCATACCAACATGGCACAACATGCCAACATCACCATCAAACATAATCCCATCCATAATAACCCACATTTGATGCTAACATAACTAACTAACACATCAAGCATTGTCCATAACCGAGGACGCGGCTATTCGAATAGATTATACTCTGATCAGAGGTGTACAACTGGACCCACACGAAATGAACAAAGATCAAATACTACACACCCCGTCGAGTGCGGTACACAAGTGATTCAAGCTCATTACATGCCCTTTCTTAGCCCCACCCCAACCACCTATACCACGCTGGGGTTCCCGACGACTCAGTCATGTGCGTGCGTGATGTGACCAAGGCGGGCGCGCCACGCGGGAGGCACCCCCGGCCAAACCTAGGCACCGGAGGCCCTCCAAAGGCTACCTGCCTCACGACTCTCCAACGTGGTATAAATGATCACAGTACAACTAGTAAGAACAAGCCGGTCCCAAATAAGGCATGTGGTAAGTACGAAGGGTGCTTGAATAGATGTCAAAATGTTCGGTCCTTAACGACCTAGACGGGGCTACTTGCATCAGGGGAAACAAACCTCCCATCATTCGCCCTATCACCCGTCCAAGTCCAACATATTTCATCAACCATTATTTAGTGTAAGTGCTCAAGTTTTATGCCCAATAATGCAAGTTGTTTATATACCACAATTAATAGCACTGTCCATCCCTATGGTTCTATTAGCACTAAGCATGGCTAAGCATTAATGAATAAGAAATCCCAAGTAATCCCAACCAATGGTAATAGGATATAAGGACAGTAATAACATAAGAACTAAATGCATAAATAGGTTCTACCCATACACCATAAATCGACAATATTAATATCTAGGCAATGCATGCATATATATACGTATAGATTGCAACCAAATCATTTTTAGAGAAAGTATAGGTTCTATATGCTTAGGTGCTTGCCTTGCTGCTGAGGGTAGTCACTATCCTCCTCGGGATATGGCTCGTTACTCTCCGGAATCTACCGATAAGAGGCAAATATGCAAATAAGATTCAAATAAACATGCATATGCAACATGCTCTATAAATCATGGCCTAATTACAGTAGGTTGAGAGTATGATAAACTGGTTTTAGAAAACAAGAATCATCTCATTTACATTTGTGGTTTGAGAGATATAAAAATAACAAGCCATATACACTGAAAATGGCATTTCTATAATTACATATGAACTACCCTAGGTCATATGAAATGCTGACATTTTCTAGTTAGATTTCACAAGTGCTATCATTTTTAATTCAAAGATCATAACCCAGTGGCTCTAACAAAACTTGGCTCCCTACATTTGGAGTTAAAATATTTAGTTATGAATTTTACAACTTTAATAAAAAGAGGATTACTTAATCGTTTTAGACCTACTTTAGGAGGTAGTTTTGTCAAAATCTTTTCCACAGAAGTGAAGAGTACCATTTTACAAGTTCAACAAAATTAGTTTATATGTTTATCATATTCCAATATTTACTTATGCATTGTCCAAGATCTAGACTACTAAAATGATACCTAGATCTATTCACAATTTTAGAGGAAAACCAGTACAGAAGTTAGCCATTTTCATTTTACAACATTGTAGATCACGTTTCTATTAATCCATAGAAATTTGGTTCAGCTCAAACGGAGTTCAGATGAATTTTCTACACATTTTTGAAGTTAGTACAATTTCAGCACATGTTGAAAACAGTTTTCCATTAAGAACTTCCTGGATATTACAGAGCGGTCAAGGCTACAGTGTTATGTATCTTGGTCTGTTTTTTTTTTGGGAAAGAACCCTCAAGTCTAGCTAATTCACCGATGAGGTCCCTGGCTCGAGCTCACGGGGCGGCAGCCATGGGCTGGGCTCAGTCTAGAGCCTGCCGGCGGCGAACGGAGGCTCGGATGGGGTCGAGTTCAACAGAGAAACTGTAGAGGAGGTCCATGCGAACACGTAGGTGTCCGCGCTGATGAAAGAGGTGGTCTGTAGCTCGCGAAAAACAAGCAACAGCGGCGGTGGTTCTTGGTATGCGCATGCATGTCGAGCTACAGCTCGGAATGGGCTATATGGGTGCATGCATGGGGTGTTCAGGGGTATGCAGTGTCTCACCGTGCAGCTGAAAGGGGTCGGAGAGGTCCAGGAAGCAGCGACGGCGTTGGAGATGCCCGGCAACACAACAAACACGATGACGACCCGAGAACGACTAGATCTGGCCATAAAAACCCCAAATAAACGTTTGAATGAGCTAGAACATTGCATGCAGAGTCTTTTGGCCAATGTAAAGGATCTGGAGCACACCGGACAGGGAGGAACAAAGCCAACGGGTCTAGATCGGGGCTGAGGAAAGAAGGCGAGCGTTCTCCACGCCTGGAGCTCGGCTTGGGGTGATTCTTGACGGTGTTACATCTGGGAGGAAGATGGAAGATGAACTAGAATGAGCAGCACCACCCAGTATCTCGGCCTGGAACGTCGGGAACACTGGAAGCTTGGGTGACGCGACGACGCCGGCCGCGCTCCGGGCCTCCAAAAAGAGATGTGCGTTCCCGGAGATTCACTGCATGAAAATCGATGAAATTTTGAGGGGAGTTAGGGCATGAATAGGAGAGCAGGGAACGAGGGTTGGACGGCGAAGAAGACGACCAGAAACACGGCGGCGACGATGAAGTTCTCTCGGCCGGCAAGGAGGAAGAAGGAAGATGGGGGCGAGATGAGGTGCTCTCACTCTGCGTTTATTTCTCTGGAAGGGAGTGGGAGGAGTGGAGAAAGTACCTAGAAGCTTAGAGGAGAGGGGTGTCACGCTTGTCTCTCTCCCTTGCATGGCCAAAACGTGGCATGGCTATTCCTCTGCTTGTCCCCTGAGTATGAGAGGGTTGGGCCACTGCCATGTGGGCCAGGGACTGCTGGTGGGACCCACATGTCAAAGATAGAGGGGTTGGAGAGGAAGAGACAAGAAGAAAAGACAAAACTAGATTTATTCCCTCTCTCACTCATGACCTGCTAATTCGAATTGGTTAGGAGGGGATTCAAATTTTGGCCTCTGGTCCAGAGATGGGTCTTGGAACATGCTTTCTAATCCAATTGGTTTCACTCAAAAAATGTTGAGTTAAATAATTCTAGTGAAAAAGTGAAATCGGTTAATCTTAAAGTTAGTTTGAATTTTTACAAGGTCTAAAAAGAGAGGAAAAATTCCAAAAAAATTATATTTGGTGATTATAAATAAACTAATATTTTAATAAAATATTAAACATGTATACTACTGTTCAAGTTATTTTTCATTTAGAAGTTGCTTCATTTTACCAATTAGGTTTCTAATTAATTTAGTTTGACTACCTTGACTGCTTTACTTGAGGTAGTAAAAAGTTTGATAAAATTATGAAACCTTTATAGTGGTTATCTTAGGTTGGCCGAGTGACAAGAGGATCTTCATGGATTTTATGTTGCTTAGATTTGTTACATAGTCTCTAGGTTTATTTAACATGCATCAACCAGTTATGAACAATACAAAAATCACTACAAACAAGTACACAAGCACACAGTCACTAGTTACTAATTCTACTAGCCAATTGCTAAGCATGATCGAGTAGATTATCCAAAGAGCGAAAGATTAACGACTATACTACAACGTTTCTTAACTACTGCTTGACCATTTAATTTGGTTATATACAAAGAGGCTTGGACAAAGCTTATAAGCTAAAAAGTAGAAGACACCAAACACCAGAGCTTCATGGATTATCAAGTATTGAGTCAGCTTGGTCTCTTGAAACAATGTTCCCCTCGTGGAAGGGAAAACACAAATTAGCCGAGCTACTCCTGAAAAATGTTGGTAGATTTTATTAGTGCCAAAACACTCTCTGAACGGTGGATGAGTCTTTTTAAAAAAATAGATTTCGCTTATCTACCAAAAGGTTGTAGGGTCATTAGTCTACCTATAATGATCACTAAAGTTTCATATTAACTCAAACCAACAGTTTGGGAAAATGGTTTCAATTTCTACCCATCCTTTTTGTACACCAATTAACCGGATGAGGTTTTGAACCCAAACAGCTTTAAAACTTCCAACTTTTACTAAGGACATACCCCGATTTCCACCTAAGTTGATTAATTAAAACTTCAGGATGTTACAATCCGCGTATTGAATAATTGGGAAAGTAGCACTTCCATTTGCAATTGGAGCCGATAGCAATCCAGTTGAATAAGCTTTGTTTATGATGGATTGCAATAAATCTGCAGTTATAACAAATAGCAGAGGAGAGAGGGGGTCTCCTTGCTTGACCCCCCTCAGGCATTTGAAACTCCTTCCAGGGACCCCATTAAGCAGAACTGAGGTGGAAGCAGAGGACCGAACATTTTTTATCCAGTTGAGCCAAGTGTTATTGAAACCTTTAGCTTGAAGAATTTCGAGGATTGCATCATGCTCCACCAGATCAAAAGCTTTTTCAAAGTCTATTTTCAGAATTACTACTTCCTTTCTAGAGTGATGACACTGATGAATATACTCAAAACTCCAAGCCAGACAGTCCTAAATGGTTCTGTTCTTGATGAATCCATACTGATTTTCATGTATGAGTTCCGGAATCACAGTTTGGAACCTAATGGCTAAGATCTTTGTGATGAACTTGAGCGAAGAGCCCTGAGGTGCAATTGTGGAGATTATGGATACCCCATATCTGCATGACAGTTATACTTTAGTCGGATATAGGGTACCAAATATAGATAGAATATCTTTATGAGGACTCGGGTTAGTTTTTAACTTGTATGTCAAGGAAATACCCGGGATCCTAGTCGGTTACGATTATATTTTATCTATAATCCCATATTCCGTTAGGATATGGACTGTATTTTGTAAAGCGGATTCCTTCCCCTATATAAGGAGGGTCCGTGTGCCTCTTGGGGCGCGATTCTTTTTTCCAGTTTATACAATCAATAACACACCCGGCGGAATCATCCCCGGACAGGAGTAGGTTATTACTTCTTGAATAAGAAGGCCTGAACCTGTATAAAATTCCTTGTCTCCAAACCCATCCACTTTCCTAGCTTGATAGCCACCCCCTTTTATTATTGCCGAAATCTTGTTTCGACAGTTGGCGCGCCAGGTAGGGGTAGCGTCAAGTTCTCACCGACTAAGTGCGATGGGTTTCGTTTCTGGCATCGACGACTTCGCCTTCCCTCCCGGGCAGGCGTTCTGGTTCGGCAGCCTCAACTTCATCACCAACGACTTCGGCAAGATCTCTCTCCTTGACTCGGATTCAAACCATTCGGGGAGAGACCAGGTCCCAGTGCCATTCGGTATTCCGAACTCGGCCGAGGCCTACTCCAAGATCATCTCTCCCGAGTCGGCTTCAAACCACTCGGACGAGATCCAATCTACTCTTCTGCGACCAGATCAAGACGACGGGTCCTATCCCTCAATCCTGATGAAACTTCCTGATGATTTGGCCGTTGTCTTCACAGTCAAGACATCTCCCACTCGAAGATCTAGGCGAGCTCCGGCTCCGGCCCCGATCCGATCTAGGTCCAGGGAGGTTGGTGTTATACTCCAACCTCTCGGGACAGTCTCGACGGAAGAGTTGGATGGCTACCTCAGCTCCCCTGGCGTCAGTTCTCGACCAACCGAGATCCTCGACTATGACGATTTCGGCTACCACTACGACCACGGCGACCTCGACAACTTCGACGACAGCTATGAGGATAACTACACGCCCCTCTTCTTCGGCGTATTCATGGCTGACAACGAAACGGAGGAACAGTGCCAAGCCCGAGAAGCGGACCAAGATCGCGCACGGCAAGAAGCTGAACGTCGCCGACTGGAGGAAGAACGACAGCGACAAGAGCGAGAACGACTACAGCGTGAGCAACAAGATCGCGAACGGATTGCAAAGGAGGCTGAAGATCGACGACAACGCGCCTTGGAATCTGGGCGGCGAGCGAGATAGCTCATTGGGCAACAAGACGTCGATGGGATAGCGGTCTTTCGCACCCCCCAGCAGAACGCGGTTGCAGCAATCACTCTCCTCGACACCCTCCTCAAGGAAGACGCACTCAACCAAGCTGATCATGTAGTCAACATCTTGAACCAGACGAAGACCATGATCGCTGCCTCGGTTCCAGCCAACTCCGCAAGCACTCGCACCCCGACTGGTAGCCGAGTCCCTCATCTTCGATCTCAAGACTATCACCAACCAAGCCTCAGCATTGCTGGCACCGAATCTAGTCGCAGGAGCAGGGGACATGACGAACGGTCTGTTCGTTCGCCTCCCGAGCGATATAGGGAGCACCGAGTTGAACGACCACACTCCCACATCGAAGGCGCCCCATCGATCTTCGCGACACCATCAACCAGCGCCGCGCAGCAAGAGGCCATCATTCACCCGATCGCTACGACGACGACGTGGACGGAGTTGCTGCCTTCACAAGCGATCTGCGTCGAGTGGATTAGCCAGCCAGCTTTAAGCCGACTAGAATCGAGAAATATGACGGCACCACCAACCCTGAGTCTTGGCTCACCGTCTATGGTCTCGCAATCCGCGCAGCAGGAGGAGACAGCAAAGCCATGGCGAACTATCTACCTGTGGCCCTAGCGGATTCTGCCCGGTCATGGCTTCACGGGCTACCCCGCGGCACGATCGGATCATGGGCAGAGCTACGCGACCACTTCATCGCCAACTTCCAAGGCACTTTTGAACGGCCCGGCACACACTTCGATCTTTACAACATCGTTCAGAAGTCTGGAGAATCTCTTCGAGATTACATTCGACGCTTCTCCGAGCAACGCAACAAGATCTCCGACATCACCGACGACATCATCATCGCCGCCTTCACTAAAGGCATTCGCCACGAGGACCTAGTCGGCAAGTTCGGACGCAAACCTCCCAAGACGGTCAAACAAATGTTTGAAAAAGCCAATGAGTATGCCAAAGCCGAAGATGCTATCACGGCGTCCAAGCAGTCGGGCACCACTTGGAAGCCAAAGAAGGATACGCCGACCGCAGGAGGGAGTGGAAGTAACAACCACAAGGATCGCAAGCGTAAGCCCGAAGAACTTATGGCAACCACCTCTCCATCTTCCCGACAACGTTCCCGCGTCAACACCTTCGACAAGATAATGAACTCCCAATGTCCGCATCATCCCAACTCCAACCACGTGGCCAAAGATTGCTTCGTCTACAAACAGTTCGCAGAGCAATATGTCAAGAACGCACGTAAACCTTCAGACGGAGATCAAGGCACATCAAAGAAGAAAGATGATGAAGACGATGCCCCGACTGGTTTTCAAGATCATCGCAAAGAACTCAATCACATCTTCGGCGGACCCCTGGCTTATGAGTCTAAGAGAAAACAGAAGCTAACAGAATGGGAGATCAATGCGGTTCAGCCTAACACGCCCCAATATCTTCGGTGGTCAGAGATAGCAATTAAGTTCGACCGCTCGGATCATCCCGACCGAGTGGTCCACCCGGGGCGGTACCCCCTGGTACTAGACCTAGTGGTTCGCAATGTCAAGCTCCGACGGACTCTCATCGATGGTGGCAGCGCACTCAACATCCTTTTCGCTAAGACCCTGGACGATATGCAGATTCCTCGCACGGAATTAAAGCCGAGTAATGCACCCTTCCACGGTGTTATCCCAGGATTGTCAGCTACACCACTCGGCCAGATCACTCTTCCAGTTACCTTCGGCACTCGGGAGAATTTTCGCACAGAAAATGTTTGTTTCGAAGTTGCTGATTTCGAGACAGCATATCACGCTATACTTGGACGACCGGCTTTAGCTAAATTTATGGCCGTCCCACACTACACCTA